CCCTGGAAGTGTCCAAGGCCAGGTTGGACGGGGCTTGGAGCAACCTGGGCTGGTGGAAGGTGTCCCTGCCCATGGCAGGGGGTGGAATGAGATGAGCTTTAAGGTCCCTTCCAACCCAAACCATCCTGGGATTCTGTGATTTTGAACTCTAAACTCTGCTTTGCCGCCCTGGAACCTCAGCCCTGGCGCAGGGCAGTTCACACAGACATTTCTCAAATCTTAATGCACCATTCCAGAAGTTAATTGCAGTTTGTTTTCCTTCAGCCTGACTTTCATTCTGAAGGGTGTTTCTTGCTGCTTCTTCCAGGAGAAAGTAGCCAAAGCTCTGGCTGTGAAGAACGAGGCCATCGAGGGGCTCCAGAAGGCCATTGAGGAGGAGAAGAAGGAGCAGTGGCGGGTCGAGGGCCGCTCTTACCTCTTTGATGCAAAGAGGGTAGGTGGTGCCAGCTCTGCTGCCCTCCCCCCTGCAGCCTGCCCTGCCCAATCTGGGAGCCTCTTGTACTCCCAGCAGGTTACAGACTGTTTGCTGTCTGTGTGTTGCACACAGGGCCACTTCCACCACCTGACCCAGAGACTCAGAGGAGGGAGAAGGACTTTTTATATGGGCAGATAGTGACAGGACAGGGGCAATGGCTTCAAACCAAGGGAAGGGTGGGATTAGAGATTAGGAAGGAATTGTTTACTCAGGGGGTGGGGAGGCCCTGGCACAGGTTGCCCAGAGAGGTGGTGTCTGTCCCATCCCTGAAGTGTCCAAGGCCAGGTTGGACTGGACTTGAAGCACCCTGGGCCAGTGGAAGGTGTCCCTGCCCATGGCAGGGGGGTAGAAGTGGATGATCTTTAAAGTGTCTTCCAGTCCAAACCATCCTGTGATTCTGTCCCTTTTGCTACAGAACATGTTCTGCTGCTGCTTTGTGTTCTTGCTAAACATTAACCTCCTGCCTTCATCTGCTTGTGCAGAATAACGTTGCCATGCTGCTGGAAGCCAACTACCGGGAGAGGATGATGATGGTGTACAACGAGGTGAAGAAGAGGCTGGACTACCAAGTGGCCCTGCAGACCCTAAAGAGGCAGAAGGAACAGGATTACATGATTCAGTGGGTGGAGAAGAACGTTATTCAGAGCATCACACCCCAACAGGTATTTGCTGGTTTTTATCTGCTTTACGGTTTAGTCTGTACAAAGATTTGCTACAAAGGATTCTAATTTAAGCCAGGAGATGATGGGTGTCCTTGGGTGACTTCCAGATGTGGCTGCAGCACATTCCTGCTGCTGAGGAAGAGCTAAGGAGCCCAGTTCCTGGGTACCAGGTGCTTATGTTGCTGGGATTTAAACTAGGATTGTGTGTAGCATTTGTTGCTGCAGCTCAGAGCTGAGCTGTGATGAGATGTGCAGCTCAGTGGGCAGGGGACTCAAAGTTCTCTGTGTAGGACCTTGGCAGATCAAGGCCTGCAGGTGGGCTCTGGATGTCCTTGCTTTTAAGGAAAGAAACAGAACAAAACCAAGTTCCCAGCACTGTGTGCTTTTGTTACCCAGAGCAGCTGTGGCTGCCCCATCCCTGGAAGTGTCCAAGGCCAGGTTGGATGGGGCTTGGAGCAACCTGGGCTGGTGGAAGGTGTTCCCTGCCCATGGCAGGGATGGAACTGGATGAACTTTAAGCTCCCTCTGAACCCAAACCATTCTGGGATTCCACGACTTCCATTCCTGCTTCAGTGCAGGTCCTTGTTTGGATGTAATCTCTGATTTCATTACATCCCTTTAAATCTGTAACTCAGGGGGGTGAAAAAGGATGATCTAAAATGCACTAAAAATCTAGTTTGCCTGAGATGTGTGCTGACAGCTGTCTTCCCCTCTCTTGCAGCAGAAGGAGAGCATTGCCAAGTGCATCCTGGACCTGAAGGCGCTGTCCAAGGGCGCACACGCAGCAGTGTGACCTCATCCGAGCCCACTGCCATGTCTCAGTACATTGCTGGTGGAAACTATGAGTCTAAACCATCATTAAACAAACAAAACCCAACCCCTCTGCCGTGTTTCACTCCCAACAGTCGTTGCCTGGTTGTGTTTGGAGTCGCTGGATGGGTCACACCAAGCACTGCTGTTCAGAGGGGGGGATTAGTTGCAGCCACAGTGTGTGTTGGATTCCTGGTGTGGCCATGAACACTTGCAGAGATCAGATACACAACTTCACAGAGACAAATTCTGGTGCTCAGACTGATCTCTGGGTTAGAATTCTCTGTGATAACAACCCACAGATACCTGCTGTCATTGCAAACGTTCTAAAATCAGTGATTTGTGCTGCCTTTGACCTGGTCCTGGGCTTGGAGTGCCTCAGAATGAATGTCCTTGTTCTCAAAATGAGCTGAAAACCCCTTTTTCACAACAGAGCTTTGTGTAGTGATGAAAGTGTTCTGGTTCTGGGAAAGGAGTGATCTGGCAGGAAATATGTCAAAAGCTACCGGAAAACATGACTTCAGATTAAGTTTAAAACAGGGAAATGGGTGAGTTTAGAGGGTGGGATTTTTCTGGATTTTCACAGGAAAAAAAAAAGCTGTTGGTTTGGTTTTTTCCTTGTGCATCAAGAGAAATAATTCCATGTCTGTTATGATAAAACACACAGAATAAACCTCTTCCATTTTCTTTCCAAAGGAAACTTTTCCCTGCAGGATTTTGTTATAACTCAAATATCTCAGCTGAGCAAAGCACTGACCTGTATAAGTTCATCCTTTGTGTGCTGGGCAGTGATTTATTTAGTACATGAACTGCAGTGAGCAGAGTGGGGTGTGCCCAGTACCCACTTCTTTAAGAATTGCTGCAATTCTCAGTGGGGGAAAAGTGAATTTTCTCCACTTTCCAATACAACAGCACAAAAAACCGTGTTTTTTGGGGGTCAGAACCTGACTTTTAAGCCAGTCTAAACTCAACCTGCCTTACTTTTTTTAGCTCAACAGTTCCAGAGAATGCAGGTGCATAATTTCCTGTCTTGTGATAATTTAAATAAGAAAAGTGAAGTTGCTCAACTTCCACATTTTTGTAACCCCACGTCCCAATGACATTGGAGCTTTTAGCTGGTGTGACAGATTCTTTGCACAAAGCCAAGTGGCTGAACTGGTGTGCTGGCACCCCGGGAGTTCTCCATGGTGGGAGGTAAGGTGGAGCTGTATCATTTCTTGTTCCTTTAGTTCTTGCAAACACAAACTGGGAGCTTTGGGGTTGGAAACTGGGAGCTCTTCATGGTTTGAGTCCTCTGCAATGTGGGCAACAACGGGGTGCAGTAGGAAAAGTGGCAGCAGCAGAGTTTATTGTCATGTTGTGATATTTTCATGTGATATTTTCATGTTGTGATATTTTTCACATTATTCACAACACGCATATTGCAAACCCACATGGTGAGAAATACCAGGGTAGGGATTTTGTAGTAGACTGTCTTTAAGACTCCCTATCTTTTAGCCCTCTCTTCAAGATTCCAGCCCCAAATTTGGGAAGAAACTTACTGTTCCTGCCTTGGTGGGAAGAGTCAATTTAAGTCGAGAAAGGAAAACATCAAGAGGGAATTTTTTAGAGCTGCTGATTATGAAAACAGTCATAAAGTGGACTGGGTTTTAGCTCTTGCAAAAATAATCCTGTGGGTGCTTTTTAAGTCTTAAATATCCTCCATTTTTGGGGGAAGAAGG